CGATGAATAAGTTAGACAGCTGTTACGAAGACTGACATTGTAAGGCACAAAAATTGCATCCACACAACAATTTCGGACCTCCAGCTTGGTAAGACTATATAAGTTCCATAATGTGGGGTGTACGATAGACTTACCTCCACGTGGTGCAACCTGAGCAACGTATACTCATACGGCAAAAAGTCTATAAATCGGCATTTGACTTCTGACTTCAAACTACCCGACCCCCCTAGTTGTCATATTTAACCCCTTCCACAGTACTGACCTCACCTCTGTGAATCGCTCTTCTGTTCCCCACCTCTCGACTTTCTGCAACTTTGATGAACCTTCCCTCTGTGAAGCCCGAAGTCAGCTAAATGGCTAATGATATCTATCAAAACGCCTGCCATTTGAAATAAATAGAGTTCCATAATGTATCTCAATAAAGTAGGACAAAAACTGTATAACTACGTTGGCCGAATCGATAGCAATTTTGAACTTTCCAATTTTTTGTCATTTCGAATGATCATTTCAAATGTCTCCTATTCCACATGGTTTTCGAGAACTCTGTGAAACCGACTCCCAGTTCTTAAGTAAATGAAAACGTCATTGCGAAGGAAATTACTAATGAAAGGGAAAAACTGTGCATCGAGTATGATAGTGACTTAAATCAGTAGGAAACGGTGCGGTGAACTAGTACATAAGAAATATACCTAAACGAAACAAAAACAAACATAACTAATCAGGGAAAAAAAACCAATAATCAGCTCGAGGAAGAATATGAAACTTAGTACAAAACGAGTGAGAAGAAAACGAAGTAACATCCTACACTAGTTTTCAGAGGCAGTCAATGATTTGAAGCCAAATCGAAAAGACAAAGGATGGAGAAATACTGGTGAAATAAATGGGGCTCCAGGAATTACAAATCGAGAGCTTTGAACAGTGGAAAATGAAAAGAACAGGTGCAAAGCGTATGGTGGGTAATGAATAATTGCACTCGGATCAAAAACGCAAGCCTTAGCATGCTGCCTACACTCCAAGGAAAGTCATCGAACATTCGAATAAACTCTCCCCACTCGAAGGTCCGTAAGAAAGCAATAAAAGAAAACCAAAAGCAGTAAAACACGAAAACTATATACAATAAATTAATACCTCAACACTTAACTTGTTAGCAGAACCAGCAAAGTACTTGTTTAACAAGAAATATCATATCGTTTGTTGAGATTTTATGAGAGGGGAAATAGAACGAGTGTAAGAGCTAACCAAGTTCTCCAGTGCAGAGGACCTGCATTCCAATCTGCAAATGAAATTCTTCGCCAGTTCCAGAGCTCTTCTTTTTGGAGCCCTCGCCATTTGAATAAATAGAGGTTGACATTTTCGAAGAAGCAGTTGCAGGTCGAGGGCGACCAAGTGATGAGTAGTTGTCGACGGATCTGCGTGGACAGTCAGGAGTAGCAGGTCTTCGTTGACAATCCGGTAGGAAATCCGCGTGCACTGATTGGCTCATGTCATTATTACCAGCCAAAAGATGAGATTTCGTGGTGCGTGGAGGAAGCCTAATTAGAGAGAAATTAAGAATATTATAGATTAGTTGACGCGATAAAGAAAAACAAATAACAAAGAAACTAACTTTTGTAATCGTGAAGCGGGTGCAAAAACTCCATGCTTGGGTTCACATGTGAAATATCTAACGCCCTCAACTGAACCGTCATTTTTACCAACTGCTTTTGACAACTCCACTCCATACCATAGCCCTGACAAAAAACAACAGATATTACAACTTACGAGAAGTTACAGCGACCATTATTTAGAGGCCATTTACCTGGAGCAAACTGAGTCTCACCAATAAAGCGAATAGTTCCACGTCTAAGACCAGCAACCAAAACTCTGTCTCCGAGAGCATAATCCTCTGAAGTTTGAGATTTGTGCAAACCTATTTGAAAAAAAAGTAACACTACTACTACTACTACTACTTAAAAAAGTGATTGGTACTAAATGAACGACTTGACGCACCAGTGTCCACCTTTGCGCCGACATGAGAAACATCAATGGGGATATTTTGCAATGGAGTGGGTGTAGATCGTCTAGTACCATTTGAATTTACAACACAAGGACGAACTTGTCCGCTTGTCCGGCTGACCTTGTATACTCGGCCAATGGGAGCAAAAATGCCATGATTTTCCTCACAATCGAAGTAAAACACTCCATTCACAGATCCATTGTTCTTTCCAAAAGCTTCATCCAATTCGATACCAACCCAGATTCCCGATGCGAATTCCACTGGTCCACAGTACTTCAAGCGACCCATCCGTCCACTGGTTGCAACTGCATTCGGGTCGATTGATTTCGATTCACTACCCCCTGGCCCCACACATACTCGATCACCAAGTGCTAATCCCATCGCCCGAAGAGTAACCTTGGCGGAGACAGCCGTTTGAGGAATTGGATGTTGCCTTTGATTGTGATGGACTGAAGAAGGAACAGTGGTTACAGTTGGTGGCAGCAAGGATTGATTACGAGATTGTCGTTGTGGTGGAGGTGACGACGCATTGATTGAAACGCGAGTTCGGGCAGGAGAAGCGAAGGGTGTATTGGGTTCTGTTGAAGATGTAGTAGCTCTGCGTGGTCTTCTCGGTGAAAGGACCCCGGTTTCAGCTATAAAAGAAAAAAAGACCAAAAATTTACAACCAAATTAATAAAAAATTCCAGAACACAAGAACAGACCGAAATGGCATACACAAAGACACCATGAGTAGGAACATTAAGCCCCACTAATAAGAAACTAACAGAAGCTCCATTAGCCATCGTTAATTCGTACGATCAGGATCACTGCTTATGCACAAACATGTACGTCAACCATCAATAACGACACAAGAATCTTGAAGGCCATAAGACAGTATCATACCTTTAGCCAAGATTTCATAAGAAAGCCCAACATTAACAAACAACCTCAATTAGCGAACTAATGAAGTTAAATTAATAAGGAAATATCGATGTAACGCTCGAAAAGTTCACTTTTCATTGTTTTAAATAGCCTTATAATCTAGTTGAATGACTGTTCCTTATAAGTGAAAATGACTAAGTACTATTTACAAATAAAAGACAAAATAAGACTAACTATATTTCAATCACTTCCATACGTCATTCAAAACAAAGAAATAGATTACTGTAGGAGACGAATACGGTTTTGCATTCACATCCACAACTTGACTTCAAGGAAGCACTGAATTTCCAAAGCACAGTCTTCTGGTAATAAGAAGGGAAACTATTTTTCAAGAAAAGAACAACTGATTTTGAAAGAAATCAAGCTACTTCAATACTTTCAAATTCCAGATCCAACCTAAGCGCCTCACAAGCAGATAGGAAGATTCCATATCAAACCCTCAAAGAGATAAGACCTTTCGTAAAATCAGTTAGAAGCCAAAAAATGAAAATTAGAAAATCGATACATGAAGTATAGATTTTAATGAATTTTGATTCTCTTAAATGCGGGAACCCTCCTCAATGAAATTCTTCGGTACATCACAATATTAAATTGCAATTAGCGTGAACACCTCAAAAAGACGAGAACTCACCAGGTCTTGGCGCTGCAACTTCATCAGAACTACATGCAGGCGCTAGAATGCCAAAGAGCACCGATTCTACCGGATTTACAGATCCATTTGTCTCAGTGATTGAATTCTTCGAAAATGGCGTGGTTGTCGAGCGAGAGCGTTGAGGTGACGGCGAAGGGGTCTCCTTTCTCCAATTACCTGAAAGAAGATGCTGTGGGACTGAAGGTAGGACCCGGTAGCCTGAATTTGGACTGCATCCGGCCCCCAGAAACGCCAACTAGATGAAGTAAGGATGATAAAATGTGCTTATTTACGAAGAAATTTAAATTTAGAAAGAGTGATGCTCACCTGAAGTTTAGTTTTCTTGTCTACTGGTGGACCCAAGAGCTCGGCCATCCGGTCTCGCATGCTGGATAAGGGCTCGGGTAATTCACCAGCTGGTGGAAGGCAATCTGTGCGCAAAAAATCAATAATGATAAATGAGAAAGAGGTGAGATACCCCAACATAATATTTCAAAAAAGGCCGATTTGAAAAAGCCCATAATTCAAGGGATGCATCAATAGAAAATATCGATGACAAACGGCCAAAGATAACTCAAGATCAAGGAGCCTATTGAAACCCCCCTCTGAGCGATATAAAAAATTGGCTCAGTGGGTTTAACTTCAAACATTAATTATATGATGAGCCTTTGCTGAGTTAATAAAACATATTGGTGTATCTGCACTTCCATTCCCCGTCTCGCAGGGATTCAGTTGATTGTGGCATAGCGATATCTAGTGAGTACCTGAAACAGCAACTTAAACCTGGAATAATTAACGTACCGTTTTACCATACTAGCATTAGTAATCGGTTCACTTCAGTGGGTCATAAATTGAATGAATGAGACAATTTCGCATTTAACCTCCTTTATTTAATAACAGTAAATTACGTCACCCCACCCAAAAAATACGTGTCACTTTTAGGGGACAAATTATTGTCCCAATAAAGAAAAACAGATAAAAAAGAACTAAAATCAACATTAAAGTGACGATTTAACAAACGGAAAAGAGAAAGCAATAAAATACTGCCTTTTGATTCCCATTTTGACTAAACCTCTTTATTAAACCCAATAATGGAGGATTTTGCCCGCAAAGGCTTTAACTATGAGTGCGATTAAGAACTTTGAAAATAAAGTAGTAGTGCATGAAACTATACCAGAGGTGGATAACAAAAGAATTTTAGCTGAGAACCATTGCAATGAAAAGAAGCAAGAAAACTGATTAAGCTCATTTGTTTCTCCTGATTTGGGTTGATTGCCAGCAAATGTCGTTAGTTCTTTTTGCGTATCATCACTTCGTCTAGGTGTGATTCGCTGAGCTGGGCAGTATGGAATACCTTTGCCGGCAAAACATGCGAAAAAGGGTGTGGAGCGCATAAAGGGATCTCCAAATGGAATAGAGCATTATGGAAGGTCCATACGGGCTACCGATAGCAGAGACCCCTCAGCAAATCAGCAGAGAAATTTGTCCCTACTACCTCTTGCCATCCATACATTGGGTGAAGCATTGGCGATTTGTGGATGAAGTTATGCTTCGGGATTCTGCTTAAGGCCTATTGTGCCGAACTTATGAGAAGATAATAAAGCTTTGGTAAAGGCCCTAATTGTGCAGTATCCGCAATAGGAGAAAGGGGATTTCAAGGAAAATACATCATCTTTTAAACCTCTTACACCTGATAAAATATCCAACATTTATTTCAGCTTAACGTGAGGTTATATATCTACTATTGAGCCTCAGAATGAGAAGTCATTATTGTCTTTTACAGCAATCCATTAACTTCTAATGACGGGGCTGAAAAAACACGAGAACAAACCAGGCACAAATAATAGGTTGGCAATAAAAATTTCGAGGTTTATTAATGGATGTGCGTTGAAAAGTCTATTTTCAAGCAAATCAGTTCTCATAAAATAAATCCAAGATTTAAACAATCGCGGAAACAAAATGCAGCGTAAACAAAGATACGATGAAAATGCCTACATACCATAAGGCGTTCGCAAAGCGGTATCCAATGCATCCTTGCACATCAATGGCGAATCTAGTGGATTTAGGTCTTCCATTGCATCAGTTGAGGTAACGTTCGACGCCACGGAAAGTGGCAGAGGCGCGAGAATACGAGCAGAAGCCAGGGACAGTTGCGCAGCCGCCAAATGCAGTGGAGTAGCTCCCTCTAAAGCTGCTGATCGGACAAGTGGATCGGCTCCACGAGAGAGAAGGAGGCGCAGAATTTGGGGGCAATCGAAGTAGGCCGCGAGGTGAAGGGGTGTTAGGTCTTCCCACCCCGACCGGGCCTCCAAACAAGCACCTTGGTCAAGAAGAAATTCCGCGATTCTGAAAGGTAAAAGCAAGCCAACAGTAAGAAAAAGTATAGATGGGAAAATCTACATATGTTTATTATGCAAAATTGTGAATTGAAAATCTGGATATCAGAAGCAAATCAACAAGACGAAGCGTAGAATGATTAAATTCGAGGGCAGCACAATTCCCTAGATTCAAATTCTCAAACTACACTCAAAAGTAAGGTCGCCGAATTCCTCAAATGTGATCACCCCTGAAATCAATGATTAAGTTTGCTAATAATAATATCAAAGGTTTCTTGCCTATAAGGTTCTTTTTTTCCTGTTCTTCGTGAATCTGATAGCATTTCGATTGAATTTTTGGGAAAAAAGATACTCATTCAAGTGGTTTCCCACTTTAAACGAAACTTTTTTCTCTTGTATCTAAAGATCAAATCCGATTGTACAAGGTTTGAAGAATATGAAGGATGATGTAAAATTTCTGTGTTCAATTCCTCCATTTTGTTTTGCTAGTACAGCTCACTTATGCTGTGATCAAGCTAGAAGATCAGGTTCTGATGTCATGATATATTTATTTAATAGATACCACTAAATAACTAACTCAGACTCTGAGAGGAGGTAAGATAAGTGTATGTTACTCGAAAATTGCTTCTTAATATTTCAAAGGGACTATTTCTAAGAGAATATAATAAAAAAATCGTTCAAATGAAGAGGGACTAGTATAGACTCGAAAGACACGGAAATATTTGGATTAAATTGGCGAAAAGATGGCTCACTTGCAAGCAAGTTCCTCGTTTCCCAGGGCCCCTGATTTAGCAGTATAATGAAGAAGCGTCATGTCTGTCATTCCGTCCCTGTCGTCAACATGGGCTCCACGTTTGAGAATCTAGGAAAAAAACAAGAGGTTGACACCATCGTAATTTGCAAAGTAGACTTTTATATGCACAAAAAATGATTAAGTACACACAGATTAATGAACACGAAGATGGTTTAAACAGATTGTATTAAATACGATCAGTCTAATCTTAGGCAAAATTTGTGCTAGCCACGCATTTGCAGTACTATCGAACAATAACCTTTTAGTCATATCTCAGGTCCTGGTGTTCTCATGGGGGGGGGGGGGGGGGGGGGAGGGGGGACCATCGGTCTACTGCTCATATTAATATCATTAATCATTTTAGGTGGATAAAGTTAGCAAGAAGGAGTAAACAATGCTCCGGTCAGGGTTTTTTACCAATAAGCGTGAAACAATGTAACTTAATTCCTTATAAAACTAGACAATATATGTGTGAATAAGAGGAACAAAAGTTTTCACACAACACGAGAAAAGCGCATCTGAATGTCGAGATTGGAGGTAAGGTGAGGCTGAAAATTCATGAAAATGTGGGCAAAAGGATAAACAGCTCACAAAATTTGCTACGGATTTGTAAAACTTAAATGCATCTAAAGGGTTGAAAGATTATACTACAAAATCCTAGTCAGCATCGGTAATGTATTGCAATAGCAAATCAACTTCAAGTATTTTAAGAAAAAAAGTTGAAAGGCACCAACTGCATACATATTGATAAAAGGAAATTTTACTATTTTACTGTGGGGCGCAGATAATAAAGAGGAGAAAACCACGAGGATGGTGAGAGTTAAGTCGGGGTAAAAGATTCCTATTTCAATTGCTTTAATCTACTTAATTCACTGGACAATTTAGAGAAACAAAAAATAAATTAATTGCTAAAGATAAAGTCGGAGGTAATTTTGATCAACCAATCAGTCAAGTCGTCAAAAAGTGGAATGTCAAAGTGTAACGAATGGGACTTTCAATCACCTCGAGACGAAGCAAGAGTCTTGAGACACTGAGTCAAGCATAGCCATTTCATTGAAAATTTCAATCAAAGTGTAATATATACCACACAAGTTCTAATAAGGAAAGTTGCCATAGTAATACCAGTACTAAAAAAGG